ATATGAAGGGACTCAAATTTACATTTTTGGCTTTGGTCCCAAGGGAGACAGTCCCAGACAAAGGTGTGTTCTGTTTGCAAACATCTGCCAAGCTCTTCCTGGGTGGTGCGGCTCACTGGCCTGCAAACCGAAAGGCCACACTGGTTCAATTCCAAGTCAGGGCACATGCCTGGGTTACAGGCCAGGAGCTCAGCTGGGGTGTGTGAGAGGCAATGCATCAGTGTTTCACACGTGTCTCTCTTTCTCCCTCTCCTACACTCTCTAGAAATAAATAAAATCTTTTAAAAAATCTATCAAGCTATACACTGATGATATTTCTATTTTCCTATGTGTATGTTACACTTCGGTAAAAATGTAACCACATTTGCCACACTTTGCATTACCCTCTTTAGGCATTTTTCTGATTTTTGTTTTAAATAGAAGTGGCCTGTGGCTGGCTCTGGACATCTTAGAGCCCCTAGAGGGCGCTCATCCTGCATCAGCGATTGAAGCTTTATTGTGAGAATCGATTCGCATACCGCCCAATTCATCCTCTAAAGTGGACAATTCAGTGATTTCGGTCTGTTCCCAGAGTTGTGCAACCATCACCACAGTCAGTTTTAAAATATTTTCATCACTGAAGAAAAAAAGGCCTCTCCGATCTTTAACCATCACCTCCCTATTTCCCTTTCCTCCTCCCCAAGCACCCGTTCATCTATTTTCCATCTCTATGGGTTTGCCTTTTCTGGATATTTCTTGTGAGAGAAACCATGTTATATGTAGCCTTTAAAAATATATATATATATATTTTAGAGAGAGGGAAAAGGAGGGAGAAGTAGAAGGAGAGAAACACTTAAGTGCAAGTGATCGATTGCCTCTTACACGCCCCTGACCAGGGACTTGGACCCCAAACCAGGCATGCGCCCTGCCTGGGAATCAAACCCGTGACCTTTTGGTTTGCAGGCCAGTGCTCAATCCACTGAGCCACACAAGCGAGGGCTAATATGTGGCCTTTTGTGTCTGGCTTCTTTCACTTCGCACAATGTTTTCACAGTTCACCCATGTTCTAGCATGTACTAGTACTTTATTCCTTTTAATGGCTGAATAGTATTCCATTGTATGGCTAGATTACATGTTGTTTACCCAGTCATCTTTTTTTTAACATTTTTTATTGATTATGCCATTACATTTGTTCTATTCCCCCCATTCCCTTCCACCCTGCACACCCCTCCCCCACCATTCCCCCCTTTAGTTCATGAACACGTGTCTCAAGTTCTTTAGATTCTGTATTTTCCCCTACTATTCTTACCCTCCCCCCATCTATTTTCTACCTACCATTTATGCTACTTACTTTCTGTACCTTCTCCCCCCTTCTCCTTCTCCCACTCCCCTGTTGCTAATCCTTCACGTGATCTTCATTTCTGTGGTTCACTCCTGATCTAGCTGTCCTCTTAGTTTGCTTTTGTTTTAGGTGTGGTCGTTGATAACTGTGAGTTTGCTGTCCTTTCACTGTTCATCTTTTTAATCTTCTTTTTCTTAGGTAAGTCCCTTTAACATTTCATATAATAAGGGCTTGGTGATGATGAACTCCTTGAATTTGGTCTTATCTGAGAAGCACTTTATCTGTCCTTTCATTCTAAATTAAAACTTTGCTGGATAGAGCAATCTTGGTTGTAGGTCTTTGGATTTCATGACTTGGAATACCTCCTTCCAGCCCCTTCTTGCCTGTAAGGTCTCTTTTGAGAAATCCGGGGACAGTCTGATGGGAAGAAACTCCTTTGTAGGTGACAGTCCCTTTATCTCTTGCTGCTTCTAGGATTCTCTCCTTCATTTTAATCTTGGCTGATGTAATGATAATGTGCCTTGGTGTGTTCCTTCTTGAGTCTAACTTCTTTGGGACTCTCTGAGCTTCCTGGATTTCCTGGAAGTCTATTTCCTTTGCCAGATCGGGGAAGTTCTCTTTTATTATTTGTTCAAATAAGGTTTCCACTCGTGGGTGTTCCTCTTCCCCTTCTGGTACCCCTATAATTCGGATGTTGGAACATTTAAAGATGTCCTGGAGGTTCCTAAGTCTCTTCTCATTTTTTTGAATTCTTGTTTCTTCATTCTTTTCTGTTTGGTCATTTTTTCCTTCCTTCTGGTCTGCTCCCTTGATTTGAGTCCCAGTCTCCTTTCCATTACTATTGGTTTCCTGTGCACTACCATTCATTTCAATTAGTTTAGCTTTCATATGTTTCTCTAATTTGTGACTAAAATCAACCAGTTCTGTGAGAATCCTGATCACCAATGTTTTGAACTGTGCATCTGAAAGTTTGGCTATTTCTTTGTCGCTTAGATTTATTGGCTCTGGGGCTCTGAGTTGTTCTTGAGTCATTTTTGGTCTGTTCGCGCCCGTTAAGTATGAGGCGCGGAGCCTCAGTTGTTTACCAGGGTGGGGCCACCCAGGTCGCTTGTTTGTGATGCTGCGTGTGGGGCGGGGTCAGAGAGGGAGCAATGGCGGTCCTCTCTGCTCCGTTCATCCCCACCGCTTGTCCCCGCCTGTTTATCAGAGCAGAAATGTGCCGCCCTGCGCCACTCGGTCTCAATGCTCGCGTCTACAGTGGTTTATCTGCACGCAAATGCTCGACCCACCGCAGACAGCCAGCCGCACCTCTTCCCTGTGTCCGCCCGTAGCCAGCCGCACCTGGGATCCGAGCCTTAGGCTGCTTGCACACCACCCCGGTCAGGGATCTTTTAGGCCAACCCGCTGCTCTGCTGGCTTCGCCCCTCTTACTGGTTTAGCTGAGCATTTCATTTTTTTCGGACTCCGTATTGTCGATTTTCTGTGTGGTTTGGTTGCGTTTATTGTTCTTAAAACTTTGTTGTTTTTAGATTTGGTTGTGTGCGGACACAAGGTATTTCCACCTACGCCTCCATCTTGGAGGAAGTCCCCAGTCATCTTTTGATTGACTATATGGGAGAACTCCCTTCACCCCATCCTGCAGACAAGATCCTTGAGAGGAACCCAGCCAAATTCTAATCAGTCCCATCTGGCAGGTGGTTATGAGAAGAGTATTTAGGACAGAAGCCCACGAACTTGATGCTCCTGATGCTTCAGTGTTGGGGAGTTTCCAGTCCGCAGCACCTACTCAGGAAATTGTGAAGAATGGTACCACATTCTGACCTGATAGGAAAAACAATCTCATAGATTTGTGGCCTGCCCTTCCAGCTGGCCTACAGATAAGCCTTAACCTGCCCCAAATTCTTCTCTAGGGGACAGTCCTGCCTCTTCCTGAACCAGGGTCTAATTAGGGGCTGTGAAAGAGGTCTTTCCGATATAGGGACTGAGCCTTGTGACTGTGCCCTAGCCTGGCCTAAGGAAAAGAAGATTCTAGGCTATGAGGCACCAATCCATAGACAGCAGGGCAGCTCTGGACAAAGCCATGAGCCAAGGGACAGTTTGACTTCCTGAGTTGGAAATGCTGGCCAGGTCCCCCAGGAGGAGAAGAAAACGTCCTGAGGAAAACCAGTGTCAGCAGCACGACTGGCCAAGGGCCATTCTGGACCCTAGCTAAGCCACTCAGGAATCAGGGATTGGAATTCAAAAAGAGCCAACTAATTTCTGTGAGCGATTGGTACGGAGGTGTCATAGGGGGGCAGCTATTTTCCACCACGACTATGAGAACACGGAAGGAGAGAGAGATAGAGACAGAAATAGAGTCAGAGATAGAGCTAGAGATAAAGGGAGATGATGGCTTTGATGTTGACAATGAGGTTGACGATTTTCCAACACCCTCATTTCCTTACTAAGTTTCCTTTATTGGACGGTAGGAGATGGTGTCTCTACTAGCAACCAGAAGAACCTTAGATAGAGCAAGAAGATACATTGAGGAAGTTCTGTGTCTATTAATAGCCATCTCTGAGAGAGATACACACTCAACAAATTAACTATAAATGATAAGTGTGGAAGTCAGAGCAAAATTCTCTTTCCAATGAGAGTGAAAAGCAAAGCAATGAAGGAGCACTCATGGGAACGAAAATTACACTTCAACAAATATTGTGTGAATCCAGTGAAATGAGGAACCTGGAATAGGCCAATTCACAGAGACAGTGAGTAGAGGTTACCAGGGGCTGGGGAACAGGGGGATAGAAAGTTATTGTTTAACGGGAACACGAATTTCAGTTTGGGAAGATGGGAAAGTCCTGGAAAAGGATAGTGTAGGTGATTACATGATATTGTGAATGTACCTACTGCCACTGAACTGTACACTTAAGAATAATGAAAATAGTAACCTTTCTGTGATGTATAGATTACCATAATAAACAAAAAGAAGCGCAGGAAAAAAAAAGAAAAAAAATCACACCTGAGTTCAAGCAGTCTTGAAACCAGGGCCTTCACACCCCAGATCAATCATTTTCTGTGGGATACTCTTCCCGGGGGTCACTTCCCAGTCACTCCCACTTCTCTGGCTCCAGGGTTCAGGAGACAGTCCTTCCAAGAACCGCAGACGGGAAAAGCCCCGTTGCCTCTGGCCAGGCTGCTGTCTGAAGTTCTGGCAGAGGGCGTAGAAGAGGCAAAGGCCCCGAAGTAGGAACACACCCCGCATTTTCCGGGAAGCAAGTGTGCGGGGCTGGAGCAGAGTTAGACCCAGCGCACTGAGCAGGGGACAAAGTCGGAGAGGAAAGGGGCGGGTGGGGGCCGGTGCAGCAGGGCTTTGAAGGCCACTAGGATCGTGGCTTTTACTTTGAGTGACAAGGGGAGTCACTGGGAGGATGTGAGCTGAAGAGGGACCTGGGCCTACTCGTGTTCATGTAACATGAATGCGTCTTCCAGGGTTGGAGGGGCTATAAATCCTCCCTCAGAGTGGGCTAGCAAACCCCCACGAGACTAAAAACCCCTGTGACGTTGGTTTCCCTGCAAATTCTGCCCCTTCGACTTTGCCTCTCGGCGGAACCGCCTTTAACCCTTGTTTCCGGCGTTGTATTTGCTCTGGGGATCCCCAGACCGGAGAGGGGTGGGGGTGTGAAGGGGAATAACCTCCCTGCGCACACCGTGACTCTGGCTCCGCACACCTTTGGCCACCAGGCTGGTGCACCGGCCAGCACTCGGCCTCCAATGGCCCGAAGACTTCCTTCCCCGGACGCGGGAGGACCTGCACAGTTCCCTTAGCAAGGACTAGCAAGCGCGTTGTCTCCGCAGGAAGGGGCGGGCTTTGCAGTAGCCGTACGTTGCCATAGCGACCCTGGCAGCTGCCCTGGACGCCGGAGCGCGCGCTTTCGGCAGCTCTGAGGCTGGAGGCTGCGATCCCTCGATTCCAGCTTGAGGACTCCGGATCCACTCGGCAGATAAGCGCGGGTGAGAGGGCGCAGGTGGAACCGTACGGACCCCTAGGCTTCTGGGCCCAGCCCCTCTCCACCTTCCCATTGCGGTAATTATTGTTATTCAGTATTAAAACAACTCAGGCAGAGTCTGCGCACCGCGTTGCAAAGCTTTCTTTTCCAATCAGTAGCTCATATATTCAGTCTTCAGCCTCCGCTATAGGAGAACCTAAATTCCCGAAAGTGCCGGCTGGTGCATCCGTCTGGTTCAGTTCGTGTTACTCTCATGAGGCTTTAAGTAACCCCCAGTGACATCTTAAGAAAGTTATTAGATTCTAGGTTACGATTCTGAGTAAACCAGGGAGAAAGTGTCAGTTCAGGGCTGATTTGGCATTAACACCTTTCCGAACACTTGCTAATCTCAATCTCGCTAAGACAAATTGGTTTCTCTTCAGTATTTTTATTTTTACAGTTACCTTCCCCTTCAGGAACCTGACACTTGTTTTCCTTTATAGTAAGGTCTCTTCCTTGGCAAAATTATTTATTTGTAAAAGGAAATTCATTTAAATATCAATATTCAGCACAATGCAGGTGGTACTTGGAAATGGAAGGCAAATGAAAAACACTAAATTTAGGGCCTGAGACTGTTATCTCCTCCAGGCTGTTGCCCTTGCTGATTCTGGTAATTGGAGTGACCCTCCCTGTTTCTAGGCTTGACCCTCAAGGTCTGTACCAGCTGGTGTGGTTGCTCAGCCCGATCAGACCAACCCCTGAGGTCCGCTGCTGTAGCCTAACCAAAGGAAGTCCTTGGTGGGCAGGGCCCAGTGCAAGAGGAAAATACAGGGCCCTTGCTCAGAAAGTGTAAGAATTTCAGAACAGTGGCCGTAGAGAAGTAAACCAAGCACAGCCCTTCTCAGGTCAGGGCCCCCTGCCACTGCTCAGGTTGCATACCCGTGATGCTGGCCCTGCGTGCATGGATGCCTGGGACACTGCAATCTCCTGGAATCTGCTCAGCTGATTCCAGGAGATCTGAGGTCATTCTGATTGTCTGATTGGTCAGTAGCTCTGCATGCTCGTGGTCAAATATTTCACTGTAGCCCCTGCTGCTAGCACTGCTGCCGTGTGCCTGTGTATATTCCCCAAGCCCATGGGGTGGAATAGGTAGTATTTGCTAATGTGGAACAGGGATCCCCATCTTTATCACCTGGCACGGGCCCCATGGAGACAGACAGGGGGACGTGAATGTCTGCACTGGAGATTCTGGGGACATGAAGAGCACAGACAGGGGCTCCCCGACTAGGGTGAGGCCTTAGACCCCCCAAAGTTTCTCTGCAACCCCACCAGGCAGGGCTGGGAGGAGAGTCGGGTCTGATGGAGAAACTTAGCCAGGTGATGATGAGGCAGGTAGAGGACCGAGGCAGGGGCCAGAGGTCAGGTGTAAAAGGGTGACTAACCATCCTGATGTGCCCAGGATTGTCTCAGTTTTAGACTGAAGGTCCAAAGGCCTAGGAAACCCCTCAGCCCCAGCCATATGGGGACAGTTGGTCCCCTTAGGAGCAGTATCGTTAGTTGGTGGGCTCCAGCTTGCGAATCCGGCAAAGCCAGCCCCTGGACTTTTTCATCGTTCTATCTGCGAGACAGATGATGTGAGACCAAGGAGTTAAAGTGCGGGGTGCTGGGCAGTGTGTGTGTAAGGGATGTTCCCGCGGGCTGTGCCATAGCAGCTGTCTGCCGGCCCAGGGCGGCATGGCTACCCCAACCCCCCATTCCCCTGGAATGGATCTCGGTGCTCATCGGAGGGGGGGCTCCAGGCCAAGTTCTAGCCTTAGGGTCAGCATCCACTCTGATTGGTCACACTGGGTATTAAACGTGTGACCATCACCTCCTGCCTGAGGACAGTTTCTTCCTGATGCCATCACAAACCCAACTGCTCTACTGGTTTCCCTGGTTCCCCAAGCAATTGTGTCATCAGGACACCCCCCCCCAAGTGCACCCCTGGAGAAGCGAGGGAGGAGACAGCCCAAGGTCAGTCCAGCACTAAAGGATCCCCTCCCAAGGCAGTTCATCTGCCCCATGGACTGAGAACACACATGACTCACCCCGCTTGAGCTCGAGACCGGTGCCTCCCCCAGAAGCCCCGGAACGCTGGCATAACCAGGGGCACCTGGAGCCCTCGATGTCCCTAACTTTCGCCAGCACCCTCAGGCCCTGAAGAAGCAGCCAACATGCCTATCTCCAAGTACCCACGAAAGTCAGAGCCCCTGTGGAAGGGGTGGGACCAAAAAGCCCAGAAGAATGGACTGAGACACCAGGTGTACACTGTTGGTGGCGACTGCTATGTGGGCGAGTGGAAGGACAACATGAAACATGGTGAGTGGGGGACCCTCAGGGGCTTTCGGGCCAAGAAAAAAGCTTTCAGAGCTCACTGCGGATATAAGATGTGTCCCTGAGACTCCTCCAAACGGGTAGTTGCTGACCTGGACTAGCCAGGGGCCCCCACATGCTGTGGTTCTGGAAAGGAACTCAGCTGAGAGAAAGTCTCAGGGAGCAGCGGGGCACAGAGCCGTCTTGAGACGCCGGCCCCGGCCCCGGCCCCAGCTGGAGCTCAGGGGACTCAGCTCTGTCCCTGCCTCCCGAGGCCTGGGCCAAGTGTGGGACTGCCTAACAGTAGGGAAAGGCAGACCCCAGAAACCAGCCTGCAGTTCTGGTCTTCAAACTCAGCCCTGACATGGAGTCTGACCAACAGGAGGTGAAGGAGAACCGCCCCCACCCCAAGTAGCTGGGGCTTAGACTTTAACTGGATTGGGCTCCGGGTCTAACCGGTGGAGCGTGCAGGGGTCCTTGTGATGCAAATTAAGACCTGAAGAAAAAAAAGCTTTTATTTTAAAAAGGTGGCATGACTTTTCACTCCAGTTTCACAATTCCAGATTCTGTGCTCTTAACCACTCTTTTCTCCCGCTTTCCTGCATTGAATGCTTTTGAGTCCATAAACCTGGATGAGACTCTGAGGTCCACCAACTATGACCTTGAGTGATCACATACCATTCTGAGCCTCTGTTCCCCCATCTGTAAAATGGGAATAATGCGCTGAGCCAGTGTGGCCCAGTTGGCTGGCCGTTGTCTCACAAGGCAAAAGGTCACCAGTTTGATTCCCGGTCAGGGCACATGCCTGGGTTGCAGGTTTGGCCCCATACAATTAAGAGATGAAACTAACTTGGGGTTTGCTATGTGTCTGGCTTCAAGGCAAAAGTCTGGAGGACCACCGTTTGTAGAAATGGAACTTTCTTGGGGCTTTCCCAGGTGCTGGGGGTCTTGAGACACCGCACAGACCCTGTCCCAGTCTTTGAGAATCACCAAGTCTAGGGGCCCCTGAGGCCCACGCAGACCCAGCAACTGCCCGCCTCCCAGCCCCATGTGGCAATGTCTGAAGTGCTGGCCCATCTGTGTGTCATCAGGGAAAGGAACACAGATCTGGAAGAAGACAGGGGCCGTCTATGAGGGGGACTGGAAGTCTGGGAAGCGAGATGGCTATGGCACCCTCAGCCTTCCTGACCCAGAGACAGGGAAGAACAGGAGAGTATACTCCGGCTGGTGGAAGGGCGGGAAGAAATCGGTGAGTGGTTCCTATCATGCCCTGGGGCGTGGGCCAGGCTGAAAGCAGGCTGTGTGAGTGTGTGTGTGTGTGTGTGTGTGTGTGTGTGTAGGAGTCAGACAGGCCTGGGAGAAAAGGGGTGGGTTTGAGGGGAGAACAGAGGTACTGTGTGGGTAGAAGGAAGGGTGGGGGAATCGCCATGCTTCTCAGAACAAAACCCAGGAAACAGGAAGCCAGAGGAGAGGGCCCAGGGAGGAGCATTTGAAACCCTGTGGCTACACCAGCCAGCCGGTCTGGGGGGTGGGGGGAAGTCTCCTCCCCCTTCTCCTCCACTCATTTCCTGGCTTTCTTTTCCCTGGGCAGCCCTTTCTGAGAATCCCCCTTCTGTTGGACCAGGATAAGAGGAGGGTAGGAAGAGTGGGTAACAAGAGAGGAAGGTCCCAGATCCCAGGGGTAGAAGCTAGCCAGAGGCATGTCCTCACCCATAAACAGTCAAATCCTCACCACAAGCCATGGTAACATAAAAATAAAATAGTGCTACTGAACAACTGATATGGCAGTCTTGGAACATATTGTACTTCAGCCAACTCTCACATCATCATCCTCATCATCAACATCCCCACCATTTACTGAGGAAGAAATAAGCTCAGAGAAGTGAAGTGCCTTCCTTGGGGTCACACTGCTGGCAAATGGAAGGGCCCAGGATTTCATGACCTCTGCTGGCCAGCTGTTTATTGGCCAGTGGGGGGAGAGACCTCAAAATGAAGGGTGTACGTATAATACAGTGTTAGGATAGAGGATTGCACAGGGAACCCAGAGGAAGATTATTGAGCATTCATTCATGGCGGGCTTCCTGTAGGAGGTGACATTAAAAAAATGCAGTTAACCTAGGAGTGAAAAAGAAGGGGAAGTAGCAAAGGAGGCAGGAGTAACAAAAGGAAGGATGTGTCAGCAAGGTCTGTGTGCCCAAAGGGGTGGGGGTAAGAGGGGGTGTACGTGTGGGCCTTGTGTTGGTGGGGAATCAGGATGCTTGAGCTGCTTCACCCGACCTCCTTCAGTGGGGTCTGTGGGGCGTCCATGATTCTCTGTGGTCAGATGCTAAGTATGGTGGTATTGATGTTCATTTCTCTGGGGAGAAAGTCCATAGCCTGGATCGAATTCTCAGATCCGCAACTGTGACTTTGAATAGGGTCAGATCAGAGTTGGGGTTAACATAAGTAGATGGACGATGTAAAAGACTCTTCTAGCTGCTGTATAGAGGATGCATGAGGGCGGGGAGAATGAGAGTAGAAGAAGGGACCAATGAGGAGGGGCGAAGGCACGGTGGGCTGCATGAACGGGGCAGCAGAGGGAGATGGGCAGCTTGGAGCGATTTTTTGATACAAGGTGGAAGGACTTAGAAAAGGAAGCAAGGAAGAAGCCCAGGTGTGTGGACTGGGTGCCAGGGAGGATGGTGGGGCTTTCCTAGTGGTGGTGGGAGCGCCGTGAAGTGAACAGGTTTACCTTCGTGCTTTCAGGGCTATGGGATCCAGTTTTTCGGACCCAAAGAGTATTATGAAGGTGAGTGGTGTTGCAACCAGCGCTGCGGGTGGGGCCGCATGTACTACAGCGATGGTGACATTTACGAAGGCCAATGGTGCAACGACAAGCCTGAAGGGGAGGGCATGTTACGCCAGAGTGAGTGCCCCGCCCACCCACAACAACCACGCCCACGCCCAGTCCATCTGGCCACGCCCATCCAATTTATTCCTCTGGGCTCTGCCTGACCGCGCCCCCCCCTCAAGCCACGCCTGGGCAAAGCCATGCTCCAATGTGGGTTAAGGGGAACGACAGGTCCTGGTCCCTGCCCTGAGGGAGCTTATACTCTAAAAGGAGAGCCTAACAATAAAAATGAACAATTAAAACATTTTCTTATGGTCCTAACAATCATAGCTACACTTACACAGCCATGAAACCCATTTAATCCTCACTACAATTGGACAGCATCGGCACTCTTGGCCCCACTGTACAAATGAATGAGGCACCAGAAAGGTTACGTCACTCGATCAAGGTCACACGCTCTATTAATTGTGAGGTCAAAAAGTGCTAAGGAATTCTCCTTAAAAAATAGGAAGGTGTTTTGGAGAATGACAAAGGAGCTGGTGACAGGGACCATTTGGATTGACTGAGGGTCAGGGGTCAGGGAATGCCGTCCTCAGGAGGTAACCTTTGAACAGAGATCTGAAGGAAGAGAAGGAGCTGGATATGCCTTGAACTAGGGAAAATATTCCCCAGCAAAGAGTAAAGAGAAGCCCACGCTGGTGTCAGGACTTAATCTATTCTCTACATAACAACCCAAGGGAGCTTTTTACAAATTGGGCTTGTCACTGTCCCGCTTTCCACTTTCCATAGCTCCTTATGGCCCTCAGAATTTCTGGGGGTCCACATGTCCTGGCCCCGCTTGCCCCCCTAGCTTCACCTCTCACCCCTCTCCCCTGGCCTCCCTTGGTTTCGGCCATGCTAACTTCCCTTCAGTTCCCACACTGTCTGCCTCAGGGCCTTTGCACTGCTGTTCCCTCTCCCTGGAACTGAAAGGCGATGCCCAGATCTTTGCATCGTCTCCACCCCGGAAAGGCCTCCTCCGTCCACTGCACCCACAGCACGTTCTCCTCTTCTCAGCACCTGTTTCCTTTCCTTTTGAGCACCAGGTGTATGATCAAGGGGGTTACTTTGCCTTCCTGTGCCTGTTTCTCTCCTGGAAAATGGGGATAATAGTAGTGCCCACTTCATAGGACTGTGACAAGGATTAGATGAGGGGATCTCTGTCAAGTGCTTAAAATAGGGTCTGGCCCATAGTGCACGGTCTGTAAAGCTGGTGGTATTGTCCCTTTAGACTGTGAGCTGCATAAGGACCGGAGCTGTGTCTCTCTTCTTCCTGTTTCCCCAGGGCCTGGCACATAGCAGGTGCTCTCGGTGAGGAACCTGGAGCCCAGTCACCTGAAACCCTAAGTGGCAGAGGGCCAGCAGGCATGGGGGGTGGCTAGCCTACTAGTCTGGCCTGGTTTGCTGTGCCCGGCACCCACACCTCTATCCTTTCTTCCAGAGAATGGGAACCGCTATGAGGGCCACTGGCGTCAAGGCTTGAAAAATGGGTCGGGGCGTTTCTTTCACCTGAACCACGGTCAGCTGTTTGAAGGCTTCTGGGTGGACGACGTGGCCAAGTGTGGCACAATGATCGACTTTGGCCGCGAAGAGGCCCCTGAGCCCACCCAGTTCCCCATTCCTGAGGTGGGCAGCTCTCACCAGGGCGCTGGGACCACACCCAGAAAGAGACAGAAAAGAACACCCCCCCCTCCAGACACACCCAGCCTGGCCTGACCCAGCTCAGTCCAACTAGCGAACAGACAAGGTTTTGTTTTCAGCCAGGGCATCTCCAGGGAGGCAGGCAGCACCCCACAAGGCTGTCAGCACCACCAAAAGCAGGCAGCGCCTCATCAAATTGGCAGCCTGGGATTTCTATGTGCCTCAAACCCACCCCCGCTGCCTCCCCGCAGGTCGAAATTCTAGACCCCGACGGAGTGCTGGAGGAAGCCTTGGCCATGTTCAAGAAGGCAGAGGAAAAACAAGGAGACTGATGCCAGGTGAGGGGATGAGCATACCTGTCACCCTCTATGTGAGGGAGGCAGCCCCTGGGGTCTCCTCTGGCCAAGGGGCTCAGGGCCGGGACCAGAGAGGGCAGGTCTCCTCCTCCTGCGTCCCGCTGTCCCTTTTGGTTCCCTGCCTTCAGAACTCATTTCACCGAAGACCAGCTCATTGCAGTCCTGCCCGGCCCTCTCATTTGTACCCTGGGCTTCCAGGGAGGAACACTGCTTGGGGTCAGGCCGCAGGTTCGCCCCCAAATGCCAGTAGGTGTTTTGCATCTGGCCTCCACCTGCACATCTGTCCAGTGGGCCCATTCAGCCCTAGTCCCTCCTGCTGCCGGTGTAAGTGGGGTTCAAGGGGAGAGCACTGGGAGTGTCTTTGAGAAGCCAGCTTCCACCACCCCTTCGCCTCTGCAGAGAGACTCCCAGGGCTTCAGGAGAAAGTCAAACCCACGTCACCCAACTGCTCAGACCGGTGCGGCTCCCACTGGAGGAGTGCGCTGTGGCTCCGGCACACCCTCGGCATCTCGCTCCTCCCAGCACTGGATTCTTCTTTGCCAACAGGGTTATTAATTCTTTGCTTCTCTCTCCAGCAGGCCTCGGGTACCCTCTAGTTTCGTTCTAGGATTTTACCCCTGAGTGTATGAGAATAAAGGGGCACCCGGTGGCATGAGCCTGGGGCTGGTGGTGTCAGGTTTGGGGGCAGGGGAGGCAGGGGAGGGACTTCAAGCAGAGAAGAGGCAGGCTTGACCCTGCGGGGTGGGGGGAGATGGCTCTGGGTCCCTGTACTCTTGAAATACTCCAGAGGGAAGAAAGCCTGCCTCTGGTCACACTGGTTCCTAAGATCTGGGGTTAAACCTGACCTGGCTTCTTGGTTGAACACAAGCGCTCTCGACTTTGGAATCCCGTGGGAGCTCTTAAAAGCCAGATGCCCAGGATCCACGCCCGGAATTTCTCATTTGACTGGGGTGAGGCCTGGGCCTTCGAAGTCTTCCCCAGATGATTCTGACATGGAGTCAGGGCCAAGAACCCTCGAACTTACAGGATTTGTGACCCTTGGCAAGTAATCCCCCTGCCAACTCTGTAACATGAGACTTTAGAGGTCCCACAGGGGCATTTTGAGGGTTTGCCCACAGATGTCATCATGCTGACTAACACGTATCGAGGTTAATTGGGAAGAGATGTCTGGGAAGGGCTCTGCATAATTCGAATGTAGACGACATTCCTGTGCGATAAGGGACTCTTATGTAACGAGGAGGGTCAGGAGCCCTGCAGTCGGATCGCCAGGGTGTGAATCCAGAGTGACTTGTTAGCTGTGTGGACCTGGGTACGCCACCCCACCTCTCTGTTCTCCAGGTTTCCTCTCCCCTAAAATGGGACAATAACGGTACTAACCACCTGGTGTTGTTGTGGCTACTGTGAGAATCAAACACGCACCCTTCCCCGGGGGCATCTGGTGTGTTGGCTACAATGTAAACACTCTACCAAAGAATGATTCAGCCCTCAAATACCAAGGGTTATTCACCGAGGCTTCACCAAGCACCTGGTGCGTAGCAAAGGCACCATAAATGCTCACTGGCCCTGTCGAGGTTCTGCCTCTGGATTGTGAGAGGGTGGCCTGACCCACGGCATGCGGGTCTATACCTGACACCAGGAAGCTAAGCCTGGCCTCCTCGGGACATGGAATGAACTTGATAGACCCCGAGTGCTCCCTCGGGTGCTAGGTCCTGTGCTGACAGCTTTGTTTGTGTCCTATGCCCTGACCCTCAACAACCTGATGTCCTGCTATTACTCGTCCCATTTTAGAGGAGGAAACTGAGGTCTAGGGAGGTCCACAAGTCACCACCTAGAAAGTAACTACTCACCTGTACACTTATCTGCTGTTAAGGTCCAGAACAGTGTGCACAGGGCACCATTTTTTCAGGAAAAGGGGGCACCTGCTGGTTTACGTATAAACTCTCTGGGAAGCAGAGTGGGAAACAGTGAATTGGCAACAGACGGTTGTCTCTGGGGGGGGACCAGGAACAGGGGAGGGCGGCTCTTCATTGTGCATTTGGAGTCATGCGAATGTATCATCTGTTCAAAATGAATAAAACTGAAATTAAAGACTGTTCTTAGCCACCAGCATTTCCTTACGTTGCCTGGGTTTGAGTACCTGGAATGCTTGTTAAAAATACAGAATCATAGGGGAGATAAATGGTATGAGAAAAAAACAATGAAAAAAAAAAAAAAGAATCATACATACCAAGGGGAAGGGCTTGGCTATCCGAATTTTACAGGCCAACGTGGTGATTCTTGAGTTCAGGGAAGTTTAGGAAAGAAAACCTAAGACTGCAGTCACAGACCAGAAACTATTCCAGCGGGATTCTGGGTCTCCTCACAGGTAGGGGGGCAGATCTCTGGAGGATGCATGGAAGGTACCTTTATCTTCTCTGAGCAGCAGTAGAGAGTTTCACACAGGGGCCCTGACCCTGTCCGAAGTGTTCTACTCAGTTCAGGCCATCTAGGAACGGGGGAGGGGTGGGCCCTGGTGTATAGGATGCAGGATGGAGGCAAGAAGCTAAAATAGGAAAAAGGATGGCCCCCTTCCCTGCTCAGCCCACAAAGCTGCTGTTGGCCAGGTTCAAGTTTGTACAGAACAAGACCTTAAGGCCACACTTTCCCCTACCAATGTTCACTTTAGCCAGAGCACTTTGTATTTATAAATCCCACATGAGGAGACAAACAGAACGCTCAAACTCAAAGGTCCTTGGGGGTCAGGGAAGCAGCACAGATGAAGCTGTCAAGGTGTAAGGCAAGAGGGAGTAGTGAGGACTGTGGCAAACATATGTCCCGAGGAAGAGGATAGCTACAACTCAGCTCCTGCTCATTACTGCTCCAGGAGAAGGTGGGCCCAGCGCTACTGCTGGGTCTTCTGATTTCTTAAGCAAAGCCAGAGTCCTCCCATGTAAGATTTCTACGAGTGTCCAGGCTCTGGGCCAGACTTTCTAGGTTCTAATTCTGGCCAATTACTTAACCTCTTCGGGCATCAGTTCTGTCATCTGCAAAATGGAGACAAATATCCCTGCCAAAGTGCACAACCTGACTGCAAAAATGACAGACTATCAGGGATACCAGACCGAGGTGACATTCTAAATACAAACCGCAGGGTTGGAAGCCTCAAAAATATCCACATCATAAAGGACAAGAGAGGCTGTTCCAACTCAACGGAATGCCACGATCCTGGGCAGAAAAAATCACTGCTAGAAAGAAGGTGATTGGGACAAGTAGGAAAGTGAATGTGAATGTTCTATCAGGATTCTATCGATGCCAGGCTTCCTGAGTTTGATCACTGAATTGTGTGGTTACACAGGACAATATCCTTGGTTTCAGGAGGAAGTATTTATGCACAAAGGGTCACGATATCTGCAACTAACGCATACAGCTCAGGGGGGGGCGGCGGACAAGGTGATCCTCACCACTCATGGCTTCTGTATTTGCAAATTTGCCTACTGAAGCTGAATGAGGAAACCCTGTGCTTTGCTTCAGCTCTCATACTGTAAACAAGTATCCCTTTCGGTCTATTTAGGGCCACATTTTTTATGTTTTGTGCCTTTTGTTGATTTCACCATTGAGACTGGTCTTCAAGTGCTGAAGCGCTTCTGTCTAGTGCACCTGACAGCAAGGAGGCTGTGACGTGCCTTAGAGAAAATGGTGGTGCCAGGTGGGTAAGCTTCATTCAGGCATGAGTGATAGTCCTACCGGCCCTGAATTCAATGCCAATGGATCAACAACATATATTAAATAAGGTGTCTTTAAATGGAAACATACATAAAACAAAGTTATGTATTGATCAGTTGACAGAAATATTGTGACCAGAGACTGGCAGGAACCCTAACCCTGTGTTTCCCATAGGAGCAATGGTTCAGTAACCACTAATTCAGCGTTCATGGTAATTTTGTAGAACAGAACTACCACGAATAACAAGAACTGACCGCATACATATTTTCAGTTACTGTTCACGCAACTTTTCTGTAGGTTTGAAATTTCTCAAAATGTTGAAAAACATAATCTGCTTAAAGGCTCACCCGATTCAGGCACCAAGAGGATGATGCCAGGCAGCCCCGACCCAGCAAACAGACACGAGAGGAGGCAACCCCTATGAGTATATTTACGAGCTCACACACGCACGCACACACTCGACACTGAACTGGGGGCGGGGTCAAGACTGAAAGGACAGGAAGCATCCAGATGGCACTGGCACGGGCAAAGAGGAGGGACAAAGGGAGCATTTGTCCCAGTTCTGGCTCCCATTGGTGGCCTCCTAACAGAGGTGAACCCAGAGCTGGAAGAACAGGAAGTGCTTACTTATTCTCTTAGAGGAAAGTTTCAGAGTGCAGTTACTTCTCTTTACAAAGAGCCTCTTCCCTCCACTCTCTGCCCCTGACAAAAGCCTGCACCCTGTGCAGGCTGTCCTTGAGGCTGGAGCAGGACAAGGTCTTGGGGAAGGGCATAAGGCCAAAGCTAGGAAGTGCCCAGGCCAAGGAGGGCTTAGGCATAGTGGCTGCCAGGAGTCAGGGGGTGGTCCCCTCTGTGGTCCAGCTGGTCCTGCAAGCGAGCGAACTCTGCCAGCTCGTTGAGCTCCTGGAACTGTCGGTCCGTCTTATGGCTGACCAGTGAGCGGTAGAAGTGGACGGCAAAGACGATGAAGACCAGGCCGAAGGGGACCATGATGGTGGTGGAGGCGATGGCAGCGGCCTGGCCCGGGGTGATGCTGCCCGTGCTTTCATCGCTGCCAACTGGGCCCCCGCCAGTGGCCGGGGGATTGCCGGTGGGCCGCGGCTGGCCGGGCTGCTTCTTGAGGGGCAAGAACTTGACCCAGCAGAGCAGCACGACCTCGGCCAGGAAGAGCAGCGTGCCGATGACAGTGGAGAAGGCCCAGGCTAGCTCGATGTGGCGGTGCATGCGCTCGTGGGGCGACTCCTTGACGGAGTTGAGATTGTGCACGTTGCTCACCGCCTCGATGTTGGGTAGGATGCAGGTGCTGATCATGAGCGCAAACAGGTGCACGGCCACGAGCACCGTCGTGCAGGCGCTGAAGGCGATGAGCAGCCCCGGCGGATAGTCGTGGTCGGCGTCCAGCTGCACCTCCACCATCGCCACCTGGGGGTAGGGAAGAGGTACGCTGAGGGCCAGGAGAGTCATGGCCCACAGAGGCTTTCCTTCTGTCAAACTCTGGGACCCTGGGCAAGTCACGTGAGCCTCAGTTTCCACAGTTATGTAATGGGGATCATTAGACTCATCTACTTGGGGTTAAGGAACTGCAGAAAGTACTAGTGAAGAAAGTAGGCTGCCCGGGTTTGAATTCCAGTTCTGCTGCCCAATAGCTACATGACCTTGGGAATGTCACTGAACCTCTCTGAGCTGCAACTGTCTGATCTGTAAAACAGGAACTCGTATTCATCCACAGGGTTATTTTAACAATTAAATGGGAGCTCCTGGCACACGGCAAACACCTCCCCAATAGCATACACTGCTCTTCCCCTTCAGCCAGGCATTAAAAGCCAAACACCACCAATGGTTACAATGGTTTTATGTCTTACATTACTATGATAAAAAGTTTGCATGAAAAAAAAGAAAAAGCAACCACCCGCCACCCTCCCTGTTGGCCCCTCACTCCCATCCTCCAGCAGAGGGGTGGGGATGGAGGTGAAG